CCAGTGTAACATTTAATAAGTGTTTGTAATACAAACTTTGTATGTAACTTTCTTCGTTTTGCAAAGTACACGCGTGGATATCGTGTGTTCCGCTCGTCCCTACGGGGGGCTCCATTATCGGAAGATCTAATGCAATTCGTGTCTGAATTATGGAATATATCTAGCTTTGCATAAGTTACAAACTTATATAAACTCATGAACTATATGAACCATGTGAAGCGAAATGTCATATGTTAAAATAAGATATTTCCTATACACTTCACAGACACAGGTTAAATAAGGTTATAGGTTTCATCCGAAAGTGGTGCCCCCCCCGTAGGGGGGAGGGGGGACGGAACACACGGTGCCCACGCATGTACTTTGCAAGACAAAACAAAGTTTACAAATACATATATTCTATTAAATATATTTCTTCTTAAACATATATGACGTGGTAAAATTATATTCTATTCATGAAACTTTTTGTTAATAACTATTTAATAAATAAAGCGGCTAAAACTTTCTGAATGTTATTCAGAAAGACCTCGGTAAATGTAAGCAGAAAAATATAAATATTTAGAAACATATTTAGAATGTAATGAAAAGATGATACAAGTAAGTATATAATTTCAAAATCATACTATATGTCTCAGGAACGAAGAGAGACCGCCACAAAATTCAAACGGTATATTATTTAGGAAATATTCTCTACAACATATGTAAAAATAAAGATTTGTTGAACTGTATAACCTAAACTAAACATTTACTTATTTTATTTCAGTTTAAAATGCAGATTGCCATTTTTTTGTACTGATACAATATTATTATTTACAGTTTGCATTAGAACTAAATAAGTGCAATACGTGGGAAGAGAAATTAGAACTATTTACTGCAAGCTTTTCGAAGGATATCAATGAATTAACTGTTGAAAATCAGAAATTGTTATGTTCGACGATATATGATCATATAATCGCTATACAAGATTATAATATAACATCATTGCCACGTCTTAAATCATCTATAATCTTATTAAAACCCACACTTATGGATATCGTTTTTACTGAAGAAGATTATGGTCTACATAAGGTAAATTTGAATAGAACATAATATTTTGTCATTTTTAAGATTATTCTTATAAATAAAATATATTTTTAGATTACCGAAAGTGCAATACAAATACATTACGTGGAAGGTACTCATGTCACAATAATGGACAACGATGAAGTAGTATCACTTATTAACGAATCATTGTAAATTATAAAAATATGAAGAAAAGAGAGTACTGTATGTTTTCTTTAATGATTCTATTCAACAATTAAAGGATAAAAAGATAAACCTGAACTAACAAAACAATAATATTGCTATTTTAATGTCTGAATTCCATATGATAAGATTCAGCTAATTTTAGTTATTTAACTAACATTTAACTATCATTTAATCTGTCACTACTAAAAATGCGATTAAATTATTGTTACAGATCATTAATATCGCAGAGCGTCACTAATGCAATCTTCTATCAAGAGAGAAACTGTACGTTTTCTCTTTGTGTGTTTGTGATGTATGTTGATAGCGGTGATGTTAAAGATGCTTCTTAAATGAAAATTTCCATATTTGGATTTTGTATCATGATATCTTCACATTTAAAAATCAAACAGAATATAAATGAAGATACTTTTTTCATACAAATCAAACTCGCTGTATCGATTAAGCTTAATAAGAATTCGATCCATTCAGCCGTTGTTAAAATTTGATAATCTGATGACTCTCAATCCGATTCGCGTATAGATATACGGAGTGCTTCGCTAATCCTTTGGATGGCGGGAGATATATAAAATTATGATGATATATATCGTTAAAATAAGTAAAATAATTAATAATATAAATAAATATAATATAAATAAAACTTAAGAAATTATATATTTTAATTTTATAATTTATATTATAAAATATTAATTATCAAATTAAAATATAAAACTTTTTAAGTTGTTTTATATTTATTTATATTATTAATTTATATTATTAATTATGTTTATTTATCTTATTTTAACGATTTCTATCATATATTTTTATATGTCTCGCGTCAAATTAATGCGAAGGATCAGGGAGGCACTCTGTATATCTATACGCGGATTGAGAGTCATCAGATTATCAAATTTTATTATCGAATCTTAATAACGATTGAACGGGCTGAATTCTTAAGCTTAATTGATAGAGCGAGTTTAAATTGTATAAAAAAAGGTATCTTTATTTTTGTTCTGCGTGATTTATAAACGGAGATATCATGATGCAAAGTCGAAATATGGAAATTTTCATTTAAGAAAGAGCTTTATCATCACCGTTATCAACGCACATCTACATAATACAAAATAAAAAACGTACAGTTTTTCTCTCGATAGAAAATTACGTTAGCGACACTCTGAGATTTTAATGACATATGACATTAGTGACATGTATAATTTAACCGCATTTTGAGTAGTGAAAAATTAAATAATAAATTGCAAGTTAAATAATAAAATTGGCTGAATTTTACCATATGGAATTGAGACATTCAAATAGCAATATCATTGTTTTTTATTGGTTCAGGTTTATCTTTTAATTCTTTTTTCTTTGTTGAAATGGAAGCTGCGAAAGATATAAATTTTACATAACGAACTTTATAATCTGTTTATTTAATTTTGATTTTGTCATAATATATTTTATTGTTATGGTATATTATATTCATAGTCATGGTATATTATGGTATATTATGTAATTTTTATCATTATTTTTCTAATTTATGTTTATTACATGTAATATGTATTTTTTATGTGAATATTTATATTTGGGCATTTTCATCATTCTCTAGATCCTATGTATATGAAATAACTTGGTATTTAATTTCTGCGAAATGCTTTTAAATTTCTGCAAAATGCTTTTAAATTTTCTGCAAAATGCTTTTAATATTTTTTTCAATAATCGCATAAACTTTTTGTATGTATAATGGCTTTATATTCATTATTTGATATATAATATAATTAAATATTATGTAAAACGATGCACCCCCGTTGTATCGTTCTATTTCCGGCCGAACAGCAGCCGGAAGCTGCCGCCCGGAAAACAACCGAAGGGCAGGGGCAGGGGCGCGCCGCGCCGCGCTGATCAACGGATTGTTCAAACCGTTTAACAGCCGGAGCCGTCGACAAGCCGCGCCGACAACAGTTGAGGGTGTCCGAAGCACTCTGGGTGAAACATCCCGCGACAGTTCCGCCGCGCCCCACCGAGTGGATTCGTACCGTATCGTTATTCCGTCGCTCGGTACGGGCATCCCGTTTTTATGCCGGCGCGGGACTAATTATCCGAAGTATAAAAAGAGTCCTCGGCATTATCACGGCCCCAGATTCCGATTCCGCTAGCAACAGCAAGCAACAATCCGAACCTACCGATCCTAATAGAAGCCTCGAGCCACGAACAGAAAGTGGAGAGCACTCTGCCTCAGCTGAGCATTCTTAGTTTCGGGTCTACGACTAGATCCGATCTAACTCTGTTTCCGCCAAAGGAAAGTATTGGAGCGAACTCCGATATCGTCGAAAGATCTCGATCACGGCAAAAGATCCCACCACCTTAACGCCGTTATAATTTATTACCGGGGGTAAAGCGGAGAGCTATCTCCGACGAGCTGCTCTTGTCAGCACGGCGTATTCCCGTGACGATCCATCCAGCGAAGAATTAATTAAAATCACGAGCGAGAGCATTTTCGATATCTCGAAATTTACGACGACTAACACTGCGCTTCAAAACACGCAAAAACACCGGCACGCAGCGCGTACGTCACGCGGGCATCAACCGCGCGATTAGAATAGACCGTCGGAACAGCTGACGCGTTTTTGCCTTACGCAAAGCTCTTTAAACAGATTCCTGTTTCCGAAACGAGCGGACTAGGGAACAATTATACATGGCGTTTATACTCACCGCACGAAAACTTGTACATTTATATACCGTACATTTACACATCGTATATTTACACATCGTATATTTTCGCTCACTTATACGCATATACACCGCACATATGTATAACAACCGAATCGTTTATACGTTGTACAATCCATCCGCTACACAAACAACTGTACACTGCGCGGGCAGTCATACACACACACTCACACACACATTCTTGTACATATACACACAACTACAATAAATCGGTTTTAATTATTGACAAAAAATAACCGAGTGATTCTTCAGCCTGCCTAAACTGAATCCTGTCTGATCCGTCTGCGATTATCCGTCGGCGAGTTCGCAGAAGTCGTCCGTGACAATCATTAAAAGTATATTTAAATAATTATAAAATTTAAAATATGATAAAAATATGTTATAAAAAGTTGTAATAAGTAATAATATTATTTTATATAAATTATTTATGATTTTATTAATGATTTTGATGAAATTATTAATGATTATTTCAATTTTTAATTTTATTAGCAAGAACAATAATACGGAAAATATTCATCCACGCGTTTATAATTGCTCGACTAATCATAGCACGAATCTATCACGCTTAATAATGATGCAAATGAGCAAGCGAATTCTCCTTTCGGAGACTCCTTTCATAATTTGGACTCCTGAAACAGCTATACAGAATCATTTTTTAAACAGAACATTAGTGTTACTGCTGCATGTAATACAAGCCATATTTATGGACGGATTATTACGAATTGTAGGCAAAAGCCCCAGGTAAGATTTTAGTGATCAATCAGAATGTACTTGTTATTCTTAGTTCAAAAAAGATTAAGAAAACAAAAATAAGCACAAAAATATTTTATCTTACATTATACAATATAGTATAGTATACACAGTGCGACAAATAATTTTTAAGACTGGCGCCATATCTCAGCAATTAGTGCCACCATCTGTTGAAAATTAATTTCATTAGAAAGATACATTTTTCTTCTTTCTAACGCACCTAAGTTCATGCAAATCGGATGACAAATGACTAAGTTATGACGGTTCTTTCTAACCAAGTTTTAAATCGATGTTGAAATTTCATCATGGAACAAAGAGCGGTCATTAAATTCAACGCAAAGCTTGGTAAAAGTGCATCGGAAACATTCCGGTTGATGCAGCAAGTGTACGGTGACGCTTGTTTAAGTCGGTCAAATGTTTTCGTGTGGCACAAACGATTTTTACATGATAGAGAGTCGCTAGAAGATGACGAACATACGGGAAGGCCAATTTTAATCCGAAAACCAGAAGCGGTTGAAAAAGTATGCGATTTTGTTGCAAATGATCGCAATGCTTCACTGAAAATGATGGAAGAGGCTCTGAACATCAACCGAGTGACGATTGGAACCATTCTTCACGAGGATTTGCACAAAACAAAAGTCTGTGCTAAATTTGTTCCACACACTTTGACGGATGAACAAAAATCAGTAAGAGTTGGCCATTCCAGAGACGTTGTTGTAGCCGCCAGAAATGATCCAAACTTTCTGAAATAGATTGTTACGGGTGATGAAACATTGTGCTTTCAATATGATCCAGAAACCAAGCGTCAAAGTGCGGAATGGAGGTCGAAACATTCACCACAAGCCAAAAAAACACGAAAAGTGCCTTCAAAAATCAAGGCAATGCCCATCGCATTCTTCGATAGTAAAGGAATTATCCATAAGGAATTCGTTCCACCTGGTCAAACAGTTACTGGCGACTATTATCTCGAAGTTTTGAAGCGTTTGATGGGCAGAATTCGTCGTATCCGTCCCGAATATCAAGATCCAGAAAGTTGGTCGCTGTTGCACGACAACGCGCCATCTCACAATTCATTAATTGTTCGTAAATTTTTGGCCCGAAATCAAGTTTGTGTGCTTAATCATCCGCCATATTCACCTGATTTGGCTCCGTGCGACTTTTCTTTATTTCCAAAATTGAAATTAAAGTTGAAAGGATGCTTTTTCGAAGACATTCCGACCATCCAAACAGCTTCAACACGGGCACTAGAGGCAATACCACAAAATGAGCTGGATCATGCATTTGAATCACTTTTGAATCGTTGTAACAAGTGTAATGAAGCAAGAGGAGATTATTTTGAATAAATAAAACAATAAGTATGAAAATATTTTGTTTGTATCGCGTTTTATAGGCCCAGTCTTAAAAATTATGTCGCACTGTGTAAATAAGGAGACGTTAAAGAAATTTTTCTAAAAATTCTTTTTCTTACATTAAAGTAATTTCTTCCTGACTATTAAGGCAAATATTAAGAAAAATATATTATTGTAGAACAGAATAGTATTTCGCAGAAATATATACTCTTATACACGAGACGTTAGTAAAATTTTGTTCAAATATTTTTAGGTTATTGAAACAATACAGGAAAATATTTATAGTTAACAATCATGTCGCGCATTTTTTATTCAACGATTGAGTCTTTCGAAATCAAAAACTATTAAGTTTATCAAACAAAATGCCGCTTGGAAATCAACAATATTTTTCGGTTTATGGCAGACATAAATTATAATGATGACAAGCTACTGTATTATAAATACAGTAACAAAAACTATGCATCGCACGATCGCAAAATTTACTTATCTCCAGAAAACAAGGGAAAGATTAGTTGAATGATTTATCTCATTTTTATTTTTGTTGAAAAATATTATTTTTAAGAAAACGTAACAATCAATTCTAAAAACAAAAACATTCTTTAATAAAAAAAAAATAATTCTGTGTGCATATATGATTAACACGTATATGATTTACACTGCGAGACTGATAAAAAATTTTCTTTTATAAAATGTGTTATCAAATAAAATATTATTTTGTCATAGAAATTGTTTAATTGGAGGTAAAATTTTTCTTCTAAACGAGAGTATGGATCAAACAAAACTAGATTCAGCGAGATTCCATTATAAAAGATGAGATTTTGAAGACTGCGTGTTCCACAGTTATATACAAAGCATTACGCTATTCCACCTTCGTATTTATTTTTTCAATCGCATATCAAATAAACTTTTTCGCACAAAAATTATTGTAGCTAAAAATATTTACATTATTTAAAATAATTGGGGAATAACTTTCTCAAGATACTTACGTCTTTAGAAATATTATATTAAATATATAATACTTTGATTTTTCTTGATTTAATAAACTTTATTAAATTTGATAGTTTTTGTTTTTGAGCAATATATATATATATATATATATATATATATATATATATATGAAACTAAACTTTTTCATAGATTTAATTAGAGTCGAATTATTTTGAGAGAGATCTAATTAATAATTTAAAACAGACATTATTATTACTGTTAGTCCCAAATAATAATTAAATCTGCTTTGATGATTACAAAATGCTTTAGACAAAATTGTGAAAATATTAATCGGCATTCTCTTCGTATGGATAATATGTACTTGATATATGTACTTGATATATGAACATGCATTAATTATTCTGTGAGAGATAATTTGGCTTCATAAACGACCGTGGTCATATCAAAACATAATCTAGATCATTACTAAGTTTATAGATAACTGTATAAAAATTGATTTCTGTAATATGTAACTTATTTCTATATTAATATAAATTCGCGCTTATACTAATATAATTTTGTTTTTAACTACTATATTATTAAAAAAATATAATCAAATATATATTTTGTTTGGTGATAAAAAGGAAAACTTATCAGATATATGTTATTGCATTGCAGTCTATAAAAGAAAAAAAAATGTACTACGATATATAATGTAGAATCATTGCATATATATATATATATATATATATATATATATATATATATATATGCAAAAACGTAAATTCCGAGATCTATCCAGACCTCCACCTACGTTTACTTAAGTTTATTAATTATCACTTTATGTCTTACATTCTACGTTCTAAACTTGAACTCCAGATTTGTTAATTATTCATTATGATTTTCTATATGTGCTATGGACAAAAACTATCGAATAAAAAGTATCATTAGAAAATACAAGAAAAACTTCAATTAAAAAACTGCTAAAGAAAGATAACTTTGGAAAAAAACTTTGAATCCAAACTTTGACTCCAAAACTCTTGATATCAATTGACTTACATATATACATGTATATATTTTGTGTATGAAATATTATATTAATTAATTAATTAATTAACAACAACATGAGACAAAAAAATTCTTTAGAGTGATCGCTTTACATAATTATCTTTAATTATTCATCATTTTCATTACTATTTTCGTCACTATTTTTAGACCTTTCAGTCGTATATATATAACTATTTTATTCAATTTAATTTATTTTATTTCAATTTAATTGCTATACTTATTTCTATTTATAATAGAATGGTTTAAATATATATATATATATATATATATATATATATATATATATACAATCGATTATATTCAATTTCTTTTGTAGAATTACAAATATTACACGTGAGGAATAAATTGCAAAGTCACTTTATATTATCACTATATTATTATAATATTAAGTATATATCACTGCATTGTGTAAGCTTGTTCTTTGAACTTTAGCTTGCAGAATTTCCGTTTTATTAATATGTCTGCGTTTTATTAATATGTCTGCAAATGATTATATAGCACATAACGGTTGTTTTCATTAAATAGAGTCGTTGATGACTAGTCTTACAATTAGTTTATCACTTCTATTCAATCGTATTCCCTTAATAACGGTATCGATAAAACAGACGATTCCATTTCTGAGTGCTTGCATATATTTTTAACTAGTATTGTCGTTATTGTAATTTATATTGGTTTTATTTTTTTATTTAACAATGGATGAGAATATAATTGATCCAGCCAACTCAATTGCGACATTTTACGTTGGACAAAGTATATTTTTAACAGGCGCGACAGGATTTCTGGGTAAAGTATACATCGAAAGGATATTGCGATCTTGTCCAGATGTTCGTGAAATATTTGTATTGATGCGTTCGAAAAAAGGAATAAGCATTAACGAAAGACTCGAAAAAATATTAAATTTACCAGTAAGTTAATTACCAATTATTACATAAGTAGATTTTTTTTCTTACAATACCGTATTATTTTAAGAATTTTTATTACATTTAAGTGGCAAAATTTTTCTTAAATTTTATTATAATAAAATACCTTTTATTTTAGAAAATTAATTTGAAAATTTGATACAAATATACGATAAAAAAATATTAAAAATAAGATATTATAAAATAATCAAAATATTTAACAATTTTTATAATATTATTAAGGATTTCTTAAGAATCATGGCAATTATATATATACATATATATATATATATATAATAAATACGTTACATAATATATTCTTTTAGTTATATGATAAACTGCGAAAAGAGCAACCCTCAAATTTCAAAAAATTAATTCCGATTTCCGGTGATATCACTGAAGAAAACTTAAGTTTGTCAACTGTCCATAGGCAAATGCTAATAGAAAGAGTAACTATAATAATCCATTCGGCGGCGAGTGTAAAATTTAATGACAGCTTAAAGTACGCCATTTTCATTAATACTAGATCAACAAGAAATATCTGCATTTTAGATCAAAGTATGAAGAATTTAATAGTAAGTATAAACCAATACTGTATTTATATTTTTATTTACATTATGCCCTATTGCGTATACTATTTTATATAGTGTATTTTATATTATAACATATACTAGAGCCTTTAATATGAAAAACAAATAATATTAAAATTATGCTTTATCCATAATATTATAATTAAAAAGTTTATAGCAAAATATTGAGGCATGTTTACAATTAATTAAGAAATTGTCATATGAGAACATTTCTTTAAGATATTTCGAATAAACATAATTTTGAAAAATAAAAAGTATTTTTAAAAATAAAGATATATAATGATAAGTTAATATATCGCATAAAACATCTATGGATGATAATTTACACACATAAATATACAAATACACAGAATTAATTTACAGAATTAATTTACTTACTATTAAATTCTTTATATTTTCGGCTAAAATACATATATCTCTCGTTGATCTGATATTAGTAAAGATAGCATATTTTAAGCTGTCATTAAATTTCACACTTGCTGCATTATGAATTATTATAGTTACTCGTTCAATCAGCATTTGTCTATCAACAACAGATAAATTGAAATTTTCTTGACTGATGTCACCAAAAACTGGAATTAATTTCTTAAAATTTAAAGACAGCTTTTCTCGTAATTTATCAAACAACTAAAATGGAAAAATTATACTACATAAAATATTTTTTATAAAAAATTTGTCATAAATTTTTGAAGTATTTTTAAACGCAAAAATTGTAAAATAATTTGATGACTTCTCCTACAATTTATTATTGTTAATGTTTCTCCATGTTTCATTTTATATAATTTTTATTAGTATGTTATAATAATATTTCTAAAAATATTGTAAGTGTGTTTTGTAAGAGCAATTTATTGGTAAACTTAACATTTTCTCAAGTCTTTCGTTAATGTTTATGCCTTTTTTAGGGCACATTAATATAAATATTTCTCGAACATCCGGGCAAGATCTTAATATCTTTTCGATGTACACTTTGCCTATAAATCCTGTTGCACCTGTCAAAAATATACTTTGTCCAGCGTAAATGACGGAATCGACTTGGCTGGATCGATTGTATTCTTACCCATCGTTATTAAAATGAAAGAAACAGAATAGTATTAATAAGAGCAAAAAATATATGAACATATATCTAAAAAAGCTTTTGTTCTTTCTAAATCGATATCGTTACTGAATAGTAATCTAAGACTTCGATTATATATACATAATAAAGCTAAACACGTGACTGAAATTGTATGTATCCATAAATCGAAAATAGTCGAGGTCAAAGCTAAAAGAATAAATACATACGACGCAGGCAAATTATGTCTTCATCAAAGTCAACAATAGCATAAAATCATGATATATAATTTATTCTATTTAATATATTCTATTTAATATAATTTGTTTAAATTTTTTAATGTTATAAATCACAATCACATAACGAATATATACAATAGTTTTTATATTAAATTTAAAAATGATTATAAAAGACCTTCTATAGGTATGTTACTCTCTCTTTTTCCTTAAAATGTTAAAA